AAAGCTCAGAGAGAAAGCTGCACTCGCTCTGACCGAAGCCAGACAGTCCCGCTTCTCCCGTTTGAGTCTGGGTCCCTAAAGACTCGCCCGTATCTGGAGCTCAGAGTCTGCGACTCCCACCCGATTGAAAACGCCAACCGCGCCCTCCGCCGCCAGCCCGCTCCGCGCACTCCGCACCTCAGAATTTGACTTCAGCACTGTGCCTCCTCTGAGTGTCCGTATGCGTTTCTCTTTCCTCCTAGTTGTAGGACTTCCACTCAGCCAGCGTTCCTGTGGTTCTGGGTGATGTCCCTTCCGTTTTTTGGTTTCACTTTTGAAGTAGTTGTTCAAAGCAGCAAACTCCGGCGTTAACCTATGCCGCCATCTTGGTTCTCTCCCAAACCACCATTTCTTGGGCTGAGTGCTGAGGATACAGAGATGAGCACCGTCATCCCCTGTTCTCTAGGACCTCATAGCTCAGGGGAGGGGACAGACACAGCTCATAGTTACGACATGGTTTAGGCTGCACAAGACAGACCAGATAGCAGGGGCTCGAATGGGATAGGTTACTGCTCATTCCCATGGAAGTCTAGGCTTGCCTGGCAACTCAACTCCGTGAAGCCAACAGGAGCCCAGGCTTCTCCTATCTTATTGTTCACTGTACGCAGGAGCAGAGCTGAGCCAGGGCTGGCGTGTCAGTGACCATAAAGCCAGGGAGTCCGCAGGCCTGGGGGACATCGGGCAGGTCCTGGGGCCAGGCTTCCTCGGGTTAGGTTTCCGGTAGTGGCTACGTGGGAGAACTGGGCCTGTTTAAATATGTTTTTATTGATTTCAGAGAGGAAGGGAGAGGGAGAACGAGATAGAAACATCCATGATGAGAGAGAACCATTGATTGGCTGCCTCCTGCAAGCCCCGCACTGGGGATCAAGCCCATAGCCTGGGCATGTGCCCTGACCGGGAATCGAATTGTGTGACCTGGCTCATAGGTCGACGCTCAACCACTGAGCTATGCCGGCCAGGCAGAACTGGGCCTGTTTAAAGGCCAAGCATGAGGCAGGCAGCAGGAGGGAGCAGAGGAACCCAAAAGGAGGAACAGACCTGAGTGAAACGGAGGAGGCAGAATCCACAGGACTTGGTCCCAACCACAGGAAGGAGCTAAGGGCAAGGAGAAGGCCATCGCCCAGCCTGGGCCTCGGGAGGATCCAGTGCCACAGGCCAAGGGAAGGAAAGGGAGCAGAACGAGGGGAGGCTGACTTGGGGGGCGGGGGGGGGGGCTCCAAACGGAGCGGAGACACGGGAGGGAAGTGCCAGGGATGGGGCTGTGGGCTGCGGATCTGACAGGAGAGTCCTCATCAGAGAGGACAAGTTCCCCGGGGGGAGGGCACAGCGCAGTGGCCTTCTACCTTCGATGTACATTCCCTTCCAAAGCTTCTGAAAGCAGGATGGAACCTGGGCTTCCCTGGGCGGCCACTCCCATCACAGAGATTCTGACTCAGGAAGACGGGTGACTGACTGTCTGTGACTGTGGGTTCTTTTACTTGCAAGAGAAGAAACCCACTCACACCGGCTTGAGCAAAAATGACTCCTGTAACTGAAAAGTGCAGGCATGCGCTTCAGGCACAGTTTGATCTAAGAGCTTAAATGGTGTCCTCAGGACTCTGTCTGTCTCCACCTCGGCTTGCCTCCTGCGTTGGTCTCATTCTCAAGCCTGATCTTTAAGGCCAGTGGCAAGATGGCCCCAGCAGCAGTTGCTATTCTTTTAGAAAACCCTTTGCAAAGAGAGGTATCCTTTCCCAGTCACCCCAGCCTGATTCTCATGAGCCTGACCTGGGCTACACGCCCATCTGCAGCCTAACTACTGTAGCCAGGGGAGACAGTTACACTAGTTCACATTCCTCAGGGCCAGGCATGGGGTCAACACCATTAAGGCCACACAGACTGCGAGTTAGAGGGTCCCCCAAAGGAAACTGAGCCACAGTTATGAGGAGAAGGGGAGGTAAAACGACAGGTGTCCACGCTCCTGTGGCCTCCACAGGTGATTCTGACATGCAGCCAGGTGAAGAGCTGTGGGTAGGAGGTGTGGCCAGCATTCTGACATGGGGAGAGAAAGAGGAGTCTTCAGGGCGGACTGAAAATCAGGCCAGAGAGGACGGAGTAGATGGGGCAGAGGGTCTCAGGGGCTGGGATGGTAAGAGTTTGGGGAAGTGAGAGGTCAAGGCTGCCAAAGCCACAGTGAGAGGAAGAGAAGTGGGGTTCCCTCCATAAAACTGGGCTTGGAGCAATGGGCAGGGTTTTAAGGTACAGAGAACAGCTGAGTGAAGCATGAACTCCCTGGCAGAGGGTCCAGCAAATATGTGGAAGCAAAAAACAAAGCAAAACACCCCAGAAAATGCTTGAGGAACAAAACAACTTAAATGCACAGGGACCATTTTCTTAGCTTTCCACTCTGGTACCCGGAATATCCATTTTTATCTGGGAGTGTAACCGTGACCACAGGTTGAGGTCAAGCTCCTTGGGCTAGCATTGGAAGCCTTCTATCTCCTGGCTGCAGACAAGAAACCCGATTTCCTAGGGACTTGTCCTGAGTCACAGGATTTCCGCCCTTCTCCCCGGAAGCCACAAAGCACCTTCTTGCGGCCTTTGCTCTGTTTTGTGGATTTTTCACTCTCTGCCTGTTGTGTCTGAACGTATCTTATCTTCCCCTCTGGACTTCGAGCTCCTGGAGAAGGAGGGTCTTTTCAGTCCCGTGTCTCCAAGTTGCAGGCTCTGCTTCTGCAGAAAGAGGTTTCAAGATAAGCCCAGTTACTGGGCAATACTTAGCCGGGAGGGAGCACCCCCAGGGTCAAAATGTCACTCAGTGCATGAAGAAGGGGGGACATTTGGGGATAGGGCCCCCCTACTCAGGCTGAGGCCTGAATCCCACCATTGCTACCCCCAGCGGTCAGTTGTGGGGAAAAGAGGCTGTGACTCATCTTGGGGTTGACATTTCTTCCTGTTGCACAACTGGGAGCCCAGAGGTGCTGCGTCTCAGCTGACTCCAGCGGCCATGAATTCCTAATGAATGAAGCAGCTGCCCTTTATTGAGTGCCTACGGTGTGCCAGGCACTGGGTTAAGTGCTTTACATGCATTACTTCAATAAGTTCTCCCGTTTTGTAAATGAGAAAACAGGCCCCCCCCCCCCCCCAGACGTTAGGTAACTCCAACATTGACAGAACCGTGATTGATACCCGGGTCTCTCTGACTCGAGTCCCCCTGGAAGTCCCCGGGGTTTGGATGTGTCGTTTCTGATGCTGGAGTCCGGTTAGCCTGGTACCCTGTTCCTTCAGCTCCCAACCACAGAGGATGCGCCAGCCCCAAGTCCTTTCAGGTTTCACTGCCTTAGCATTCCCCCGGGCTTCTAAAATCCTGAAAGGGAACAGAGCAGCTTGGAAGGATGAAACTAACCCCCCAGTTCCGTTCTTCCATTCCCCCTACCTTTGAATCCCCAGGCACTGCACCTCTCAGTGCAGACATTCTCTGGCGCCCCCTGGTGGTCTCCAACACCATCACAGAGCAGGGAAACAGCCAATGCCCCACAGAGGCAGGCCTGACCCAGAGCTCCTGGCTGCCAGCCGGTGGGTCGCAGCATCACTGTCTACCCCTGTAGTCCACCATAGCGCTGACTGGCCCAGCAGGCAATGCTATGACACATTGTTTATAAGGACTATATTACTCTTTCAAACGTGCCACACTATTAGGTGTGCCATGATGCTGTATGTATTACATATTAAGCTTGATCAGGGCAATACATAAAATGTGAAGGCGGCACACCCTGTTATTATAAAATGGAACCCACCATTCCTGCCCCCCCCCCCGCCCCCCGCCCCCATTTCACAGCGGAGGAGCCAGCCTTTTACCTCCTGCCCCTGGTCCTGGGAAGCAGGCTGTCTGCATACACTCATTCCCACCACCTCGTTTGCAGGAGTGACAAGAGACCCAGGGAGATAAAGTCTCTTGGGATACAAATGTTCCTTCAAGTGGGCGAGGTGACAAGAGCAGGGAGGAAGCCATGCAACACCCTTCAGGCAGCTTTTCCCTCCGGGTATAGGAAATTCGGCAGGAGGGGTGGGGATGGGAAGGACCCCCAGGATGGAGAACCGGGGGAGAATTGCTCACCTTTGATGGCTGAGCTAGTGTGTGTGTGGGGGGGGGGGGGGGGGGGCTGCTGGCCTGACAGCAGAGGGATGGAATGGGTCTCAGATCCATGGCAGGAAATAAGGGAGGGATCAAGACTGGCAGGGAGCAGGACCTGCTTTTCAGACTCCCCGGGGTGAACCCTGCTGCTCAGTTTTCATTTTCCTCTGCCCTGTTACTGTGGGTCCTAAAGAGAGAAAAGGGCACCATTTCTGCTGCCCCCTGGAGGGCTAACTTGTCACCCCGAGGAAAGGTGCGGGTGGCAGAATGAGCCCCACCAAAGGCCCTGGGGAAGCTGCAGGCAGGACTCAGGAGGCACAGGGCCCAAGGTGGAGCCACCCCGGGGAGTCAGGGAAGGGATGAGACAGGGGCGGGGTGGGGGGGCGGGTAGGCGCAGTGGCAGCCGAAGGGATTCCGATCGTCCTGCTGGGACATGGAGATCCATCCAGATGCCTGACAATAGCTCGGCCGGGCTCCCTGGAGGACCCCAGAGGCGGGCTCTACCAACTCGTCAGAAAGCGAAGTAGAGTGATGCCTGCCCCCAGGATTTAGGCGGAGGGCGAGGAGGGCCCTCGGTGTGAATCCGGAGAAAGGGAGAGAAGTGGAGCCCTAATGCCACTCCGCACCCCCTTCCTGCTTATAAATAACCCCGTGTCACTTCAAAGAAGACCGAGGCCGGGGGAGAGGCCGCTCGGGGCCGGTGGCTAGGGGCAGCGGCCCCTCCGCACCACGCCCCCCACCCGGGCGAGTTTGAATAAATAAACAAATCCAAGCCCGCCGGCCCCGCAGGAGGTGGAGGAGGAGAGGAGAGGAGGAGGGAGGGGGCGGGAGAGATTAGTTTGGGAAGTAGCACGGATTGCTCATCCGATCTGTGCAGCCGCAGCCAGTGTGTCAAGTTACAGAGGCGCCGGAATCGGCCCCAGCGCTCCTCGCAGCGGCCGCGACCCACCTCTGCCCATGGGGCCCTCTGCGCGCGCCCCTTCGCTCCGGGACTGAAACTGGCTCGCCGCCGGGAGACGCGAGGCACCAAGAGCAGGGACCGTGCAGAAGCCACTCGAGGGCTCTGCGGATACTTGAAGGGAAAGGCGGGCGGAGAGGAGGAGTGCCGACCGGTTCCTCTCACTTTCCTGGACTTGGAACACCCTTCGAAGTAACTTTTTCTCACCTGGGCGTACCCCGATCGCCGCTGGTTGTGTTTTCTCGACTTTCCCCCGCCTGCTGCTAATTTTTCCATCCTCTTTGCCGGGAGCAAAGGAAAGGAGCCTTTTCCAGGACACAAGCCCTTCACCCCCGTCCCGCAGCTTGGATCGAGCCTTTGGGCAGCGGCTCTCGCCCTTATTTATTCTATTTATTTATTTATTGGTTCCCAAGACGCGAGGGGATGGTAGCGGAGCGCGCCCGCAAAGCGGCAGCGGCGGGTGCCCGCGGCCCCGGGGAGCGGGGCGCTCCGGGGACACTGGCGCTGGCCGTGGCGCCGGCGGAGCGCTGCGCGCGGCTGCCGAGCCCGGGCTCGTGCGGGCTGCTGGCGCTGGCGCTCTGCTCGCTGGGGCTGAGCCTGCTCGCCCACTTTCGGACGGTGGAGCTGCAGGCCCGGGTGCTGCGCCTGGAAGCCGAGTGCGGGGAGCAGCAAATGGAGACGGCTATTTTGGGACGAGTCAACCAACTGCTGGATGAGGTCTGTGCTCTTTGTTGCTGGCTTTTATCCCTCCCCGCGGCGCCCCCTCGCGCAGCTTCCAAACTCTCCATCCGCCGGTGCCCGCGGGCACTTGCTATCCGCGCTGCGCAGTGCGCCCGGGAGCTCGGACAAGGTATCCGAGGGAGGGGTTGGGGGCGGGGACGGATGCTACCCTGCCAGGGACCCTGAGGACCCGAGGGGCTTACGCGGGCCCCCTCAATTCCGCCTCAGGCAGGCACCCCCCGCTCCTCCTCCCCCCCCCATCCCGGGATGGGAGCGCCCTGGGAGCGCTGGGCAGGTGGAGGAAGGCAGGGAGCGCAGAGGCGCTCAGAGGCGGCCAAGCTCCACTTCTCCCACCAGGGTGGGGTGAGAGCCTCCCAGCGCCCACGCTTCGGGACTTGCGCCCCATGGCCCCAGGCCGAGGCTTGCTGGCCCCATGGCCCTCCCCATCTATCCCTGGAGGATCAGTACTGCCTTTTCTTGCCAACGTTTCTTTTAAGATAGAGTGAGGGAGGGAGTCATCCAAGGGGCTGAGGATGGCAGGAGGCAGTTCCTGCAGCAGGGGGTGTCCTGGTCCCTGCCTGCTGCCCAGACCACTGGGGCCCAGCTGTGGGTCTCCCCGGCTCTGAATACCCTCTGGTTCCTAAGCTGGGTTTCTCATTTCCTACCCTCTGGAATAGTCTCCCAACGTTTTGTGTCTGTGTGTTTCTCTGGGAAAGGGATACTGAGCTTTCTCCCATTCCCAAAATGTTCATGAACACAAGTGAAAGCCTCTTAGCCAGGGCGATCTTGGGAGTACACAAAACCCACCCTCCCTGGGAAGGAGGAGCATGCAGTCTTATTGGTGCCATCAGAGAAAAGGCTGGGCAGTGAGGGCATGAGGCCTGGTGACTATGGGAATCTGGACAGCACAGGAGATCCAGGGCCCGGTGATGGGGAGGACCCACAGGTGAGGGTGCAGCCGTCTGGGAAGAGGTCCTGGAAGAGGCTGCTGTGGAAGGTTGATGGGGAAAGCTGGGAGGGCCTCTTAGTAAGCAGTGGTGTGGAATAGTGAGGAGCAGGGCCTCGGTCCAGAAGGCCCTGCTTTGAAGCTGTGCAGCCTGGGGCAAATAACCTAACCCCTCTGAGCGGGCAGAACTGTGGTGAGGATGGCAAACGTTAGCGCCCAGCTCTAACTATAGTGACATTGTATCCATTCTGGAATGAATGATGCACCAGTTTCCTTCAGCCAGGCCCCTCTCAGGTGCCCCTTCCAGGCAGAGGCTGGTACCTGCCACCCTTCTCCAGGGTGGTCAAGGAGAGGGAGGCTGCATGGCCAGAGCAGAGAGGGTGGCAAGTTTGCCATTGCTAGTTTACTGGCTCACCCACGACTGCTGCTATCAGCTCATTCCCCTGCTCTGACAGGCGATAGGGAATTCAGAGGGCTCAGTCAGGCCCCACCGTCCCCTGGACCAGCTGGGGCAAGCAGGGAGCTCTAGGCTTAGCAATGCAAGCAGGTAGCCTTTGTGGGCTGGCTGAGTGCACATGGGACTGGCTATGCAGGGGAGAGGGTCTGAGGGCAGATAGGGCTCTCCAGGGTGTCTCTGGGTGCTGGGTGCTGAGGGACAAGCATCAGACCATGAGAGTTTTGCTTAGTTCCTCTCACCACGCTTTCCCCTTCCTGGCCCCTCCTGTTGGCCAGGACATGCCCCAGCCCTTTCCCAGAGCCTTGCTTCCTCTGTTTAAGACTTAGCCATGCCAAGTCTCATGCTTTTAAGGTCTTGGGGCTGACAGTGTTATCTTCCATGCTGATTCCTCCTCATGAAACTGCTGCTTCATCTTTACCCCACTGACTTCTAGGCCTCTCATCTGCAGAGCACCTAAACTGACCCCATTTCACAGATGGGGAAACTAAGGCCCAGAGAGGGCCGGTAGGTCACTCAGAGTCACATGGTGAGATCCAGGACTAGACCCTAGGCCTCCTGACCCTGTTTCCAGTGCACGATGTCCTGCTACTTTCTCTGTCCATTTTCACCCAATCATTCAGCAAATGTTTCCTGAGAACCAATTGTGGGTCAGGCTGTGTGGACACACGTCTGCCTTCCTAACCGCACAGGCAAACAGGACACAAAGGAGAAGATGGGTAGTGAGTCCGTGGTGTGAAAGTGCTGTGATAATGGAAGCAGAGGAGGCCTGGGGATGTATTAACATGCAGCATACCTGATGGTGGTGGCTTCCTGGCAAAGTGATTTTCAAGCAAAGTTTTAAAGGCTAAATAGGAGTTTTCCAGGCAAAGGCAATGTGTGTGGGGGCCGTGTTCTTAGGGGCAACAGGAGGCTGAAAGTCAGAGGAGGGTTTGCCTTGAGGAACTGAAGAAAGCGCAAGACTCTGGAGAGCTGGGAGGGTGGCATGATACAGGATCTGGCTGGAGAGAGACAGGTGGCCTTAGAGACAGATCTATGTAAGAGCAGTGGGGAGCCATGGAAGGGTCTAGAGCAGCGGCTCTCAACCTGTGGGTCACGACCCTTTGGGGGTTGAACGACCTTTTCACAGGGGTCACCTAAGACCATCAGAAAACACCTATATAATTACATATTGTTTTTGTGATTAATCACTATGCTTTAATTATGTTCAATTTGTAACAATGAAAATACATCCTGCACATCAGATATTTACATTACGATTCATCACAGTAGCAGCATTACAGTTATGAAGTAGCAACGAAAATAATTTTATGGTTGGAGGTCACCACAACATGAGGAACTGTATAAAAGGGTCGCGGCATTAAGAAGGTTGAGAACCACTGGAGAGGGAGGCAGTATGGGAACTTAAGGCAGAGCAGAGAGGTCAGACAAGAGGCTAGTGCAGGCCCGAGGGGACTGTGACCCAGATTAGGGGTGCCAATGGGGTCAGAGAGGGGTGAATGGAAAGGGTGGCTGCAGTGGTGGAACCTGAGGTCAGCAGCAAAGGGTGCTGGAACTAGAGGGAGAGCTGTCCTGAGGGTGGGGATAGGGGGTGGCCTAGTCTGTGTGGAGATGGTCCTGGGTGGGGCCTCAGTCCAGAGGCTCCTGAAGGGGCTCTAAGGGTCACTGTCTAATATGGTAACCACTGGTCACATGTGACTCAGTATATTTACATTAATTAAAATTAAGTAACATTGAAATTCAGTTCCTCAGTCACACTAGCCACATTTCCAATGAGTGCTCAGTAGACACCTGTGGCTAGTGGCCGCCAGGCTGGACAGCACAGACATGCAACATGGACGTCACGCGGGAAGTTCTGTGTGACCGCCCTGTGCCAGGAGCAAGACACTCCGGGCCAGCAGCGGTGTCCCCAGAGCACCTTGAGGCCCTTCCTGCACCCCAGACCTTTCCTTCCCGGGGTACGTGCCCCCAGGTGGGAGCAAAAGGCAAAGGTGAGGAAAGGGTGAGCAGAGAAGGGGAACTGGAACTGGCCGAAACCCCTGGGAGAAGAGAAAATGCAGGGAAGAGAGGAGGCCATGGCTCTGGTAAAGCGTGATCTTGTAGAATGCGTGATATTGGGGCCTAGGCCAGGATTCCAGCTGGGCTTTGCCACCCCTGAACTTGGGTCCCTACTCTAGAAACCCCAGGCCCTGCCTCCCTCTGGGGACACTGTGAGACTCTCAGGCCATGGCAGATGGAAGAACGCACTTAAAGGTGCTGCCCCCAGAGGCCATGCTCAGGGGATGCTCGCTGGGGGCTCCCAGGGACCTGCGGCAGGCGACCCGTCCTGGAGCAGGTGGGCCTGGGCCACGCCCTGAAGGACAGAGAAGGGCCTTGGGCAGCCTATACAGCCTGCGCCATGGCCTGGAGGCAGGAATCTTGGGGCACATTCACACCACACACCCCAGTGGGGAAGCAGCATGCAGGGCACAGACCACTGCGAGGCAGGAGGAGGAGGGAGCTGCCAGCCATGCTGAGGGGACCCAGTAGGAGAGGAGCCTGGAGCAAGTGGAGCCAGAGGCAGATGTGAGCAGAAGGGCCAGCCTCCGGGAGAGGAGGACGGGGCGGGGGGCCAGCTCCTGGGGAGCTGGGAGTGCGGCTTCCAGGCCTCAGGCCCCAACTCTTCCCCCATCGGCTCCGCTCTCCTGGTCTGGGACCCTTAATGAGCACTCCAGCTGCCGTTACTTGACGTGCTTGCTGTGCAGCGAGAAGCTGGAATGTCCCAAATGGAGGAAATCAGATGTCACCTATGGCTGGACAGAGGGTGTGCAGTGAAAGAGGAGGGAGTGGAATTTAAAATCCAATCGCCAAATCCATTTGTAGGCCAAGGGGGAGCAGAGGGGTGTCAGCAGCCATCTTCAAGGTGGATGTTAAGGGGCCCCAGGCAGACTCTCTCATCCCTAAATACAATAAGAGCAACCATTGTAATAGGAATGTCTCACATTTATAGGGTCTGTACAGGGGCCCTTTATTGGGTCCTTTCCAGAGGAGGGTTTAGGGAGAGATCAAAGCAGTGGCTGAGATGCTGGGATGAGAGTGGGAGCAGGCTCTTAAAGGGACAGTGTGTGTGTGACACAGTAAGGGGCGTGGTCTGTGAAGATCTGTGGCGATCACAGCTGCCTCCAGCTCAGTGATGATCAGACCTTAAACCCAGGTGCCCTCACATGCAGTGAGGACTCCACTGTGTCAGTCCTGAAACTCCTCCTCCTCCCCTGGGGTGAGCAAATGCCTAGTCTTGTGGGTGTAAATAGAGGGAAGAGAGCCCCTCCAGCCCACCACTCTTGCCCTACAGGTGAGGACAAAGGTTTGAAGGCTGCAAAGCCAGGTTTCAGAGACACCCCCTGTCCTGCATACGTCTCTTCTCCCTTTCAGACCACAGTTCACTGTCTGGCCGAGTGACGCCAAGGACATGGCCCATGTGTGCTCTACTCCGCACTCCCTGGCCCTCGGCAGGCCTTGCTAATCCATGGTAGTGCTTTCCCACCACACTTCCATCCTGCCCCAGACTCCTCCCAGCACCGTTCCAGGAAGCTACCACCAACCAGTGAGCTGCGTTCA